TACATCTCCCCTGCTTGTTGTGTGTCCAGTGTTTTAAACCAATCATATTACATCTCTCCTGCTTGTTGTGTGTTCAGCGTTTTAAACCAATCATATTACATCTCCCCTGGTTGTTGTGTGTTCAGCGTTTTAAACCAATCATATTACATCTCCCCTGCTTGTTGTGTGTCCAGTGTTTTAAACCAATCATATTACATCTCTCCTGCTTGTTGTGTGTTCAGCGTTTTAAAGTAGTCGTATTATATATATATATTATTTCTCTCCTTTCACCAGGGTTGGGTAGGTTACAATTACTAGTTACCTGTCCAACATTTTTGTCAGTAATTAAATTTTTGGATTGCCCAAACTCAGTAACGTAATCTCATTACTTTTGGATTACTTTTGGATTACATCCCCCTTAAGAAGACAAAAAGGATCCATCAAACACATTTGGTGTGTCATCATAGAGGTCTCTGATTGGTGGTCATCATTTGGTGTGTCATCATAGTGGTCTCTGATTGGTGGTCATCATTTGGTGTGTTATCATAGAGGTCTCTGATTGGTGGTCATCATTTGGTGTGTCATCATAGAGGTCTCTGATTGGTGGTCAGACTCTCTCAGGTGGAACAAACTTAAACTTGCTCCTTTTTTCAAAGCTGAATTGAATGTCATTGAGAAAACAGAAAGGTGCCATAATGTATTCTTTCACAAACATCCTTTCTGAATGTAATAGTAATCCAATAAGTAAGCATCTACTTTTTAAAAATATCTGTAATCTGATTACAATATTCTTGCTGGTAACATAACTGATCAGGTTACATTTAATTTATTACATGTAATCAGTTACTCCCCAACCCTGCCTTTCACCATTGTGTTTTTATTTGATGTATTTTTACGTTTGTGTCTCCATCTCTCTCTCTCTCTTTCTTTCATCCCCCTGTTTTGTCTTGTCTGCCATTCAGAAGAGGGGAGGGAGGAGGAAGAGGATACTGAAGGTTTGACTGGTTGTCTGTCCCCTAGGAGACTTGGGCTGCGTCCCAAATGGCACCATATTCACTACGTAGTGTACTACTTTTGACCGGAGCCATATGAGCCCTGTATAGGGAATAGAGTGCCAGTTAGGACACAGCCTTGGTTTAGTTAGGACACAGCCTTGGTTTAGTTAGGACACAGCCTTGGTTTAGTTAGGACACAGCCTTGGTTTAGTTAGGACACAGCCAGGCTACCTCTCCTTGTCTCCTCCCGCTTTCCCTTAAGAAACACTACTGATCTGGACTGGTAGCTTTGTTCCACCATCCTGATCTGTTAGGAGAGCACAGGGGTCAGGATGGGGTCAGGCTACTGGGCTGGTGTGGTGATAAAAAAACTTGTTTGGCTTGACCTGAAAGGATTGGTTACGTTGGGTGGGTGGAATTCCACCATCTCTGATTTCAGATTCAGTCACTCTGGTCTGAGGGTATGAGGTCACTCTGATCTGAGGGTATGAGGTCACTCTGATCTGAGGGTATGATGTCACTCTGATCTGAGGGTATGAGACAAGGGTGGTAGGCCATGTAAAGATGGAACTGCAGTAAGGACACACAGACAGCCTGGCTCATGCATGTGTTTGCATGTCAGCTACACTACACTCAGAGAAACAGAGGTACTCCTGGTCCATGTTGTTTTCTAAAACCTGACACTTTGTTTAGTTAGTTGTTTTCAACCTGGTTCTAAAACCTGACACTTTGTTTAGTTAGTTGTTTTCAACCTGGTTCTAAAACCTGACACTTTGTTTAGTTAGTTGTTTTCAACCTGGCTCTAAAACCTGACACTTTGTTAGTTAGTTGTTTTCAACCTGGCTCTAAAACCTGACACTTTGTTTAGTTAGTTGTTTTCAACCTGGTTCTAAAACCTGACACTTTGTTTAGTTAGTTGTTTTCAACCTGGCTCTAAAACCTGACACTTTGCTCAGTTTTGGGGCTGAATCCTGGGGTCTGAGTGTGATGGGGAAGGGACTGCTTGAGGTTTGTGCTCCCCTGCAGTGGTTTTAGGGCTGTCGTTGACACAATTTCACAGTTCGGGGGAAATGTTCTGATACATTTGAATGGGTTTACAATGCATGAAATAGTAACTATTTGAGTTATACAGCATCTTGTCAAGGGTTTGAAGAAAGTGAGCACTTGTTCTTTGATGACATAGAAAGCACTTTTTAATCACATGAGCACAGGTGATGTATGTAAAAACTTTTAGTTGTGACAAGAGTTTCTCTCTCGGGTATCATTAGAACATGATATCAGTGATACTAGATGGATACCCTGGTTGGTATCATTAGAACATGATATCAGTGATACTAGATGGATACCCTGGTTGGTATCATTAGAACATGATATCAGTGATACTAGATGGATACCCTGGTTGGTATCATTAGAACATGTATTCACCCCTAAGCACTGCATTTGGGACACATCCTTAGTAGGCTTGGGAGATAAACCATATACTGAGGTATTTAGAAAACCGACGGTATGATTTTCCTGGTGGGGGCTGCAGAGATGTGTGGTACGCCACTACTTATAACTAACTAGAAGTTCAGTATAACTGTAAGAAATCTAAGATGTGTCAAATAAATGATATCCAGCTATGCATTTTGGTTTGCTAACTTGCTAGCTAAATGGCTAAATGTCAAGATCAAGCTTCTTGGTTACAGCAGAGACATTCAATCAAGATCCCTGTTTCCTAAATAGTTTTGTGCGTCCCAATTTTTTAATTTTTTTAATATATATTTTTAGTAATAGCGCCCCTTGAGTGCACATTCAGTAATACCGTATACCCCAGTATGGTACAGAAATGGTATGACGGTATGAAAATCTGCATACCGCCCAAGCCTTAGTTTCTATTCCTAATAGTTAAGGTTATGATTGGGGCATGGTGATCTGACCTGAGACCAGTGCTGAGGGGCAGGTGTTCCCTGGAGCTGTGCTGACCCTGCTTCGTGTGGTGGTGCTGCTGCTATGGTTATTCTAGCTGTGTGTGTGTGTGAGTGTCTAGAGTATGTGAGTGTGTGTTGTGCACCCTGTTATCAGTGGAATGTCTGACCACGTGTCTCTTCTTTGGTATGTCTAGACTCTGCACCAAAGAAAGGACTGGAGAATGGACTTCCTGCTGCTGTTATTGGGTGAGTAGACACTCCACTCTGCTGAAATCCCTGGCTTACAGCTAACGCTGAACTCTACAAATGTCGACGAAATTGCATCTAAAAGTCTATGGCTGTGTGCAGGTCGTTAATGTGTTGGATTGAATTCCTACCATAGTCTCTAGCTTAGCTCGTCTAACCCTATCTCTGTGTCTCCAGTCAGAACCATACCACTACAACCCTATCTCTCTCTCTGGTGTCTCCAGTCAGAACCATACCACTACAACCCTATCTCTCTCTCTGTGTCTCCAGTCAGAACCAATACCAGTACATCAGCATTGAGGACAGAAGGAGAGGTCCTGGGGAAGAAGGCCAAGAACGCTGAGGTGGGGAGAATCACTGAGGCTGACAAGGCCAACACCGGACGGGTAAGAGACTGTGTGTGTGTGTGTGTGTGTTTGTGTGATCTTAATTGACACCCTATTGCCTCATAGCAACTGTCCCATCTCTTACATTGAACCTAGAATGTCTCTCCCTCTCCCCTAATTATCCCCCCCTCTCTCTTTCTCTCTCTCTCTCTCTCTCTCTCTCCCTCTCCCCCTCTCTCTCTCTCTCTCTCTCCCCCTCCCTCTCTCTCTCTCTCTCCTCTCTCCACCTTCCCTCCCCTCGCCCTCTCCTCTCTCCTCTCCTCTCTCTTCTCCCCCCTCGCTCTCCTCTCCATCTCTCCTCCCCCCGCCCTCCCTCCCCCTCTCTCTCGTCTTCTCTCTCTCTCTCCTCCCCTCCCTCTCTCGTACTCTCTCCCCCGCTCCACGCCCCCCCCTCCCTCTCTTCTCTCTCTCCGTCCCCCCACTCCACCTCCTCATCTCCCCCTCCCACTCTTCTCTCCCCCCCTCCCTCTCTCTCCTCCTCTCCCCCCTCCCTCCCTCCTCTCTTCCCCCGCCCTCCTCTCTCCCCTCTCTCCTCTCTCCCTCTCGGCTCTCTCTCCCCCTCTCTCTCTTCTCTCCCTCTAGGTGAAGTTGTCAGTATTCTGGGAGTATATGAAGGCTATAGGGTAGTGTTGTCCTGTATCAGTATCTTCCTGTTCTTCAGTCACCACTTCGCCTCTCTCTTCTCTAACTACTGGCTCAGTCTGTGGACTGACGACCCAGTCATCAACGGAACCCAGCCCAACAGAGAGATGAAACTGGGGGGTGTACGGAGCTCTGGGGGTCTCACAGGGTAAGGACGTGCGTGTGTGTTAATCGCTGTCTCTATGGGTGGTATCCTGGTTCTGTCTACAAGAGTCTTTATGTACAACTGTCTCTCCATTCCTCTCTCCTTCCCTCTCCCTCCCCTCCTCTCTCCCCCCCCTCCTCTCTCACTCCCCTCCTCTCTCCCCCCCTCCTCTCTCCCCCCTCCTCTCTCCCCCTCCCCCTCTCCTCCTCCTCTCTCCCCCCTCCCCCTCTCCTCCTCCTCTTCTACCCCCCCTCCCCCTCGCCTCCTCCTCTCTCCCGCCTCCCTCCTCTCTCCTCCCTCCTCTCTCCCCCCTCCCCTCCTCCCTCCCCTCCTCTCCTCCTCTCCCCCCCCTCCCCTCCCTCCTCTCTCCCTCCCTCTCCTCTCTCTCTCTCAGGCATAGCTGTGTTCTGCTACTCCATCTCTGTCTCTATGGGTGGTATATTGGCTTCACGCTACCTCCACCAGTCCATGCTGTACAACGTACTGCGCTCCCCCATGTCCTTCTTCGAGCGCACCCCCAGCGGTAACCTGGTGAACCGCTTCGCTAAGGAGACAGACACCATCGACTCTGTCATCCCAAGGTTTTTACAGAATATCTTTAAATTATTATTATATTATTATGAAATATGTCAGCTGCTATTGATACCATGTAATGCTGCTTTATAGAACTATATCCTTCTCTCTTCTCTCTCCCCAGTATCATTAAGATGTTCATGGGCTCCATGTTCAACGTAGTAGGATCCTGTGTGGTTATACTGATCGCTACTCCGCTGGTGGCTATTATCATACCTCCCCTGGGAATACTCTACTTCTTTGTCCAGGTTGGTCGCTGAGGGGGGAGGGAGGTAGGGAGAGAGAGAGAGAGAGAGGGAGGGAGAGAGAGAGAGAGAGGGAGGAGGGAGGAGGAGGGAGGGAGGGAGAGATGCATACCACTTTTCCTGTTTTCCTACTCACTGTGCTTTTATATCCCTCCCTCCATTCCATCCCTCCCTCCATTCCATCCCTCCCTCCCTCCATTCCATCCCTCCCTCCCTCCATTCCATCCCTCCCTCCCTCCATTCCATCCCTCCCTCCATTCCATCCCTCCCTCCCTCCATTCCATCCCTCCCTCCCTCCATTCCATCCCTCCCTCCCATTCCATCCCTCCCTCCCCTCCCTCCATTCCCATCCCTCCCTCCATTCCATCCCTCCCTCCCTCATTCCATCCCTCCCTCCCTCCATTCCATCCCTCCCTCCCTCCATTCCATCCCTCCCTCCATTCCATCCCTCCCTCCATTCCATCCCTCCCTCCCTCCCTCCATTCCATCCCTCCCTCCATCCATCCCTCCCTCCCTCCATTCCATCCCTCCCTCCATTCCATCCCTCCCTCCCTCCATTCCATCCCTCCCTCCATTCCATCCCTCCCTCCATTCCATCCCTCCCTCCCCACAGCGTTTCTACGTGGCGTCGTCTCGTCAGTTGAAGCGTCTGGAGTCAGTCAGTCGTTCCCCGGTCTACACACACTTCAACGAGACGTTGCTAGGGACCAGCGTCATCAGAGCCTTTGGGGAGCAGGAACGCTTCATCAGGGAGAGCGATGGTCGAGTTGACCACAACCAGAAAGCATACTACCCCAGCATCGTAGCCAACCGGTGAGGAGCGTGGCCATCACATGCACACACACACACCCCTACACATTTATTGGTTAAATCAATAAGTCATTTTGAGATATAATTTTTATTTAATTTTTTATATCCGTACTAATGAGACCTGGTCAACATTTATAGCAGGTATTATTAACATTCAACTGTCCACCTTTTCTTTCACATGAAACAGTATGTGTTTATAATCTGTGTTGTTGGTGGCTGGCGGTGCGTCTGGAGTTTGTAGGGAACTGTATCGTAATGTTTCTAATATCTCTCTGTGTTGTAGGTGGCTGGCGGTGCGTCTGGAGTTTGTAGGGAACTGTATCGTAATGTTTCTAATATCTCTCTGTGTTGTTGGTGGCTGGCGGTGCGTTCTGGAGTTTGTAGGGAACTGTATCGTAATGTTTCTAATATCTCTCTGTGTTGTTGGTGGCTGGCGGTGCGTCTGGAGTTTGTAGGGAACTGTATCGTAATGTTTCTAATATCTCTCTGTGTTGTAGGTGGCTGGCGGTGCGTCTGGAGTTTGTAGGGAACTGTATCGTAATGTTTGCTGCTCTGTTTGCTGTGATGGCTAGAGAGAGCCTCAGCCCTGGGATCATGGGCCTGTCCATCTCATACGCACTACAGGTCAGTAATGCGTTTATGTGTGTGTGTGTGGACAGGGGGTGACTGTGTGAACGGACACTGGAACCCTAGGACTCTGTTTCATTACAAAAACAGAAGAGTTACCTTCATTCTTTGGTTTAGTTTCACAGCCAGTTACCCTCAAGAACACAGGCAGTGGATGAATAATGATCTTCATGTTAAAGATGAACCTTGTGTTTTTGGGAAACTCACCCCCAGGTTGTTTAACCTTGTCAGTCCCGAGACCTCAGCAAAAATCGGCTTTTCATTGATCTCTTTCATTTATCTGCAGTCCTTATATTTCGCCTCACAATGAGGTGTTTTACCATTTTCTTTTCAGGACAACAAGTAGAACACTAAACAATTTAACATAAACAGTTGCATTCATGAGGTCCGTCAAAGCAAAAACCTGATCAAAATGAATTTATATGAGTGCTGTTAGTACAGAACATGTTTGGTCAGTGGGAAATTAATGTCCAACTAGTCAGTGACCACTGTGTGGAGTTTGTGACAGCAACTATTTGAGCTTATTATAGACACTATGTCCTGGGATTTCAATGATCTTCTATGTAGAAGAACCCCTTACCTTCTAACGACTATTGTGTAGCCTTTCATAGATAGCTTTTAATAGTTTGTAGCTCAAACCATTCTGACTCTACAGACGTTTTTGTAAAAAGACCCGGCCCTTCAGGATCCGCCCTTGTCTCACAAACACCGTTCTAGCTCCGCCCCTGTTAATCACACAGACTAATGATTTGTACCAAAGAATGTAGAAGAAATAGATGAATTCAATGGTACAACCCAGAAGTCTCAAACACACAATGTTTAAAACGGGTTAGACGTCCAAATCACGCCAGCGTCGCAGTGGTACTCATTGGGTTAATGATGTGGTCAAGCCAGTTTCTAATGGTCTCTCTCTAATTTCCTCTGTCTCTCTCTCTCTCTCTCTCCTCTCTCGCTCTCTCTAATTCCCTCTCTCGCTGTCTCTCTCCAATTCCCTCTCTCTGAATCCCTCTGTCTGTCTCTCTCTCGCTCTCTCCTCTCTGCCTCATTCTCTCTCCGCCTCTCTCTCTGCCTCTCTCTCTCTCTCTCTCTCTGCCTCTCTGCCCCTCTCTCTCTCTGTCTCTCTGCCCCTCTCTCTCTCTCTCTCTCTGCCCCTCTCTCTGTCTCTCTGCCCCTCTCTCTCTCTTGCCCCCCTCTTCTCTGTCTCTCTGCCCCTCTCTCTCTTCTCTGCCCCCTGCCCCTTCTCTGTCTCTCTGCCCCTCTCTCTGCCCCTCTCTATGTCTCTCTGCCCCTCTCTCTGTCTCTCTGCCCCTCTCTCTGTCTCTCTGCCCCTCTCTCTGTCTCTCTGCCCCTCTCTCTGTCTCTCTGCCCCCCCCCTCTCTCTCTCTCTCTCTCTCTCTCTCTGCCCCTCTCTGTCTCTCTTTCTCTCTGTCTCTGTCTCTGTCTCTCTCTCTCTCTGTCTCTCTGTCTTTGTCTCTGTGTCTCTGTCTCTGTCTCTGTCTCTCCGTCTCTTTCTCTGTCTCTGTCTCTCTGTCTCTTTCTCTGTCCTCTCTCTCTCTCTCTCTCTCTCTCTCTCTCTCTCTCTCTCTCTGTCTCTCCTCTCTCTGTCTTTCTCTCTGTCTCTCTCTCTGTCTTTCTCTCTCTCTCTGTCTCTGTCTCTGTGTCCTGTAGCTGACAGCCTCTCTGACCTGGCTAGTGAGGATGTCTTCAGATCTGGAAACCAACATCGTGGCCGTGGAGAGAGTCAAGGAGTACGAAGACACAGAGAAAGAGGTACGTGACTGTGACTCTGAATATCTATACTATATATATATACGTGACTCTGTATAACTATACTATACTATATATATACGTGACTGTATATAACTATACTATATATATATGTGACTGACTGTATAACTATACTATACTAAATAAGTCGGAAGTTTACATACACTTAGGTTGGAGTCATTAAAACTCGTTTTTCAACGACTCCACAAATTTCTTGTTAACAAACTATAGTTTTGGCAAGTCAGTTAGGACATCTACTTTGTACATGACACAAGTAATTTTTCCAACAATTGTTTACAGACAGATTATTTTACTTATAATTCACTGTATCACAATTCCTGTGGGTCAGAAGTTTACATACACTAAGTTGACTGTGCCTTTAAACAGCTTGGAAAATTCCAGAAAATGATGTCATGGCTTTAGAAGCTTCTGATAGGCTAATTGACATCATTTGAGTCAATTGGCGGTGTACCTGTGGATGTATTTCAAGGCCTACCTTCAAACTAAGTGCCTTTTTGCTTGACAACATGGGAAAATCAAAAGAAATCAGCCAAGTTGTAGTTGTTTTTTTTACACCTCCACAAGTCTGCTTCATCCTTGGGAGCAATTTTCAAATGCCCTGAAGGTACCACGTTCACCTGTACAAACAATAGTACGCAAGTATAAACACCATGGGACAACGCAGTCGTCATACCGCTCAGGAAAGAGACGCGTTCTGTCTCCTAGAGATGAATGTACTTTGGTGCGGAAAGTGCAAATCAATCCCAGAACAACAGCAAAGGACCGTGTGAAGATGCTGGAGGAAACAGGTACAAAAGTATCTATATCCACAGTAAAACGAGTCCTATATCAACATAACCTGAAAGGACGCTCAGCAAGGAAGAAGCCACTGCTCCAAAACCGCCATAAAAAAGCCAGACTACAGTTTGCAACTGCACATGGGGACAAAGATCGTACTTTTAGGAGAAATGTCCTCTGGTCTGATGAAACAAAAATAGAACTGTTTGGCCATAAAGACCATTGTTATGTTTGGAGGAAAAAGGGGGTAGCTTGCAAGCCGAAGAACACCATCCCAACCGTGAAGCACGGGGGTGGCAGCATCATGCTGTGGGGGTGCTTTGCTGCAGGAGGGACTGGTGCACTTCACAAAATAGATGGCATCATGAGGAAGGAAAATGATGTGGATATATTGAAGAAACATCTCAAGACATTAGTCAGGAAGTTAAAGCTTGGTCGCAAATGGGTCTTCCAAATAGATAATGACCCCAACCATACTTTCAAAGTTGTGGCAAAATGGCTTAAGGACAACAAAGTCAAGGTATTGGAGTGGCCATCACAAAGCCCTGACCTCAATCCTATAGAAAATTTGTGGGCAGAACTGAAAAAGCGTGTGCGAGCAAGGAGGCCTACAAACCTGACTCTGTCAGGAGGAATGGGCCAAAATTCACCCAACTTATTGTGGGAAGCTTGTGGAAGGCTACCCGAAATGTTTGACCCAAGTTAAACAATTTTAAAGGCAATGCTACCAAATACTAATTGAGTGTATGTAAACTTCTGACCCACTGGGAATGTGATGAAAGAAATGAAAGCTGAAATAAATCATTCTCTCTACTATTATGCTGACATTTCACATTCTTAAAATAAAGTGGTGATTCTAACTGACCTAAGACAGGGAATTTTTACTAGGATTAAATGTCAGGAATACATTGTTTACTGAGTTTAAATGTATTTGGCTAAGGTGTATGTAAACTTCTGACTTCAACTGTATATACGTGACTGTGACTGTATATAACTATACTATACTATATACAGTGGGGGAAGAGTGAAGGAAAGGCAGCCAACAAGTGAGCATACAGTGGGGAAAAAAGTATTTAGTCAGCCACCAATTGTGCAAGTTCTCCCACTTAAAAAGATGAGAGAGGCCTGTAATTTTCATCATAGGTACACGTCAGCTATGACAGACAAAATGAGATTTTTTTTTCCAGAAAATCACATTGTAGGATTCTTTATGAATTTATTTGCAAATTATGGTGGAAAATAAGTATTTGGTCAATAACAAAAGTTTCTCAATACTTTGTTATATACCCTTTGTTGGCAATGACACAGGTCAAACGTTTTCTGTAAGTCTTCACAAGGTTTTCACACACTGTTGCTGGTATTTTGGCCCATTCCTCCATGCAGATCTCCTCTAGAGCAGTGATGTTTTGGGTCTGTCGCTGGGCAACACGGACTTTCAACTCCCTCCAAAGTTTTCTATGGGGTTGAGATCTGGAGACTGGCTAGGCCACTCCAGGACCTTGAAATGCTTCTTACGAAGCCACTCCTTCGTTGGCCGGGCGGTGTGTTTGGGATCATTGTCATGCTGAAAGACCCAGCCACGTTTAATCTTCAATGCCCTTGCTGATGGAAGGAGGTTTTCACTCAAAATCTCATGATACATGGCCCCATTCATTCTTTCCTTTACACGGATCAGTCGTCCTGGTCCCTTTGCAGAAAAACAGCCCCAAAGCATGATGTTTCTACCCCCATGCTTCACAGTAGGTATGGTGTTCTTTGGATGCAACTCAGCATTCTTTGTCCTCCAAACACGACGAGTTGAGTTTTTACCAAAAGTTCTATTTTGGTTTCATCTGACCATATGACATTCTCCCAATCCTCTTCTGGATCATCCAAATGCACTCTAGCAAACTTCAGACGGGCCTGGACATGTACTGGCTTAAGCAGGGGGACACGTCTGGCACTGCAGGATTTGAGTCCCTGGCGGCGTAGTGTGTTACTTATGGTAGGCTTTGTTACTTTGGTCCCAGCTCTCTGCAGGTCATTCACTAGGTCCCCCCGTGTGGTTCTGGGATTTTTGCTCACCGTTCTTGTGATCATTTTGACCCCACGGGGTGAGATCTTGCGTGGAGCCCCAGATCGAGGGAGATTATCAGTGGTCTTGTATGTCTTCCATTTCCTAATAATTGCTCCCACAGTTGATTTCTTCAAACCAAGCTACTTACCTATTGCAGATTCAGTCTTCCCAGCCTGGTGCAGGTCTACAATTTTGTTTCTGGTGTCCTTTGACAGCTCTTTGGTCTTGGCCATAGTGGAGTTTGGAGTGTGACTGTTTGAGGTTGTGGACAGGTGTCTTTTATACTGATAACAAGTTCAAACAGGTGCCATTAATACAGGTAACGAGTGGAGGACAGAGGAGCCTCTTAAAGAAGAAGTTACAGGTCTGTGAGAGCCAGAAATCTTGCTTGTTTGTAGGTGACCAAATACTTATTTTCCACCATAATTTTTGCAAAAAAATTCATAAATAATCCTACAATGTTATTTTCTGGAATTTTTTTCTCAATTTGTCTGTCATAGTTGACGTGTACCTATGATGAAAATTACACGCCTCTCATCTTTTTAAGTGGGAGAACTTGCACAATTGGTGGCTAACTAAATACTTTTTTTCCCCACTGTATATATACGTGACTGTGACTGTATAGAACTATACTATATATATACATGACTGTGTATAACTATACTATATATATATATACATACGTGACTGTGACTGTATAAAACTATACTATACTATATATATATATATACACGTGACTGTGTATAACTATGCTATATATATACGTGACTGTGTATAACTATACTATATACAGTGAGGGAAAAAAGTATTTGATCCCCTGGTGATTTTGTACGTTTGCCCACTGACAAAGACATGATCAGTCTATCATTTTAATGGTAGGTTTATTTGAACAGTGAGAGACAGAATAACAACAACAAAAAATCCAGAAAAACGCATGTCAAAAATGTTATAAATTGATTTGGGAAATAAGTATTTGACCCCTCTGCAAAACATGACTTAGTACTTGGTGGCAAAACCCTTGTTGGCAATCACAGAGGTCAGACGTTTCTTGTAGTTGGCCACCAGGTTTGCACACATCTCAGGAGTGATTTTGTCCCACTCCTCTTTGCAGATCTTCTCCAAGTCATTAAGGTTTCGAGCCTGACGTTTGGCAACTCGAACCTTCAGCTCCCTCCACAGATTTTCTATGGGATTAAGGTCTGGAGACTGGCTAGGCCACTCCAGGACCTTAATGTGCTTCTTCTTGAGCAACTCCTTTGTTGCCTTGGCCGTGTGTTTTGGGTCATTGTCATGCTGGAATACTTATCCACGGCCCATTTTCAATGCCCTGGTTGAGGGAAGGAGGTTCTCACCCAAGATTTGACGGTACATGGCCCCGTCAATCCCCCCTTTGATGCGGTGAAGTTGTCCTGTCCCCTTAGCAGAAAAACAACTCCAAAGCATAATGTTTCCACCTCCATGTTTGACAGTGGGGATGGTGTTCTTGGGGTCATAGGCAGCATTCCTCCTCCTCCAAACACGGCGAGTTGAGTTGATGCCAAAGAGCTCGATTTATCTGACCACAACACTTTTACCCAGTTCTCCTCTGAATCATTCAGATGTTCATTGGCAAACTTCAGACGGGCCTGTATATGTGTTTCTTGAGCAGGGGGACCTTGCGGGCGCTGCAGGATTTCAGTCCTTCACGGCGTAGTGTGTTACCAATTGTTTTCTTGGTGACTATGGTCCCAGCTGCCTTGAGATCATTGACAAGATCCTCCCGTGTAGTTCTGAGCTGATTTCTCATTGCAACTCCACGAGGTCTCCCCCTGGCCGAGGGAGATTGACAGTTATTTTGTGTTTCTTCCATTTTGCAAATAATCGCACCAACTGTTGTCACCTTCTCACCAAGCTGCTTGGCGATGGTCTTGTAGCCCATTCCAGCCTTGTGTAGGTCTACAATCTTGTCCCTGACATCCTTGGAGAGCTCTTTGGTCTTGGCCATGGTGGAGAGTTTGGAATCTGATTGATTGATTGCTTCTGTGGACAGGTGTCTTTTATACAGATAACAAGCTGAGATTAGGAGCACTCCCTTTAAGAGTGTGCTCCTAATCTCAGCTCGTTACCTGTATAAAATACACCTGGGAGCCAGAAATCTTTCTGATTGAGAGGAGGTCAAATACTTATTTCCCTCATTAAAATACAAATCAATTTATAACATTTTTGACATGCGTTTTTCTGGATTTTTTTGTTGTTATTCTGTCTCTCACTGTTCAAATAAACCTACCATTAAAAGTATAGGGGCGGCAGGTAGCTTAGTGGTTAAGAGCGTTGTGCCAGTAACCGAAAGGTCGCTGGTTCTAATCCCCGAGCCAACTAGGTGAAAAATCTGTCGATGTGCCCTTGAGCAAGGCACTTAACCCTAATTGCTCCTGTAAGTCGCTCTGGATAAGAGCGTCTGCTAAATAATGTAAAATGTAAAATGTATAGACTGATCATTTCTTTGTCAGTGGGCAAACGTACAAAATCAGCAGGGGATCAAATACTTTTTTCCCTCACTGTATAGACGTGACTGTGACTGTATATAACTATACTATACTATATATATATACGTGACTGTGTTTGTGTGACTATGGCTGTGTGACTGCTTGATTTTGCTGCGGCGATGATATGAGATTAATTTGACTGATTTGACTGTTTTATGCAGAAATAATACAGTGATTGGTCAAATTTGCAAGCCCTCGCATAATATGCAGGGAATTGTTGATATTGCAAAAAAAGTTGCGATCCCGGAATCCTGGAGGGGCTGATAATACTCTGTGTGTACATGGGAACTCTGTGTGTACATGGGAACTCTGTTTGTGTATAACTCTTGGTGTGTGTGTGTATAACTCTTGGTGTGTGTGTGTATAACTCTTGGTGTGTGTGTGTAGAACTCTTGGTGTGTGTGTAGAACTCTTGGTGTGTATAACTCTTGGTGTGTGTGTATAACTCTTGGTGTGTGTGTATAACTCTTGGTGTGTGTGTATAACTCTTGGTGTGTGTGTATAACTATTGGTGTGTATGTGTGTATAACTCTTGGTGTGTGTGTATAACTCTTGGTGTGTATGTGTGTATAACTATTGGTGTGTGTGTGTATAACTCTTGGTGTGTGTGTATAACTCTTGGTGTGTGTGTGCGTAACTTTTGGTGTGTGTGTATAACTCTTGGTGTGTGTGTGTGTATAACTCTTGGTGTGTGTGTAACTCTATTTGTCCCCTCCCAGGCGGACTGGAGACATGACCCATCATCTCTGCCTCCAGGCTGGCCCACAGCAGGCAACATAGACATCAGAGGGTTTGGTCTGAGATACAGAGAGGACCAGGAACTGGCCGTACGCAACATCACCGTAGCCATCCACGGAGGAGAGAAGGTATGTGATGGTGGGGGCTGTGTAACAGGAGTGATCAGGCTGTGTAACAGGAATGATTAGGCTGTGTAACAGGAATGATTAGGCTGTGTAACAGGAGTGATTAGGCTGTGTAACAGGAGGGATTAGGCTGTGTAACAGGAGGGATCAGGCTGTGTAACAGGAGTGATCAGGCTGTGTAACAGGAAGGATCAGGCTGAGTAACAGGAGGGATCAGGCTGAGTAACAGAAGGGATCAGGCTGTGTAACAGGAGGGATCAGGCTGTGTAACAGGAGGGATCAGGCTGAGTAACAGGAGTGATCAGGCTGTGTAACAGGAGGGATCAGGCTGTGTAACAGGAGGGATCAGGCTGTGTAACAGGAATGATTAGGCTGTGTAACAGGAGTGAACATGTGAATAAATATGATTCATACTGTTGCAAAATCCGAAACCAAGAGAGTTAGCTTGTTAGCCTTAAGCCGATGTCACATGAAGCAATCTGGACGCCATTTATGTTGCTTGAAACAAAGTTGCATCTGGGTTGCTCAGTGTGTCACCCCCATAAAAATTGCTTGCAATTTAGTTGCATTGCATCGCAAGAGATAGATATCAATCCTATTTCACACAACTAACTATATGCAATGTCCAATCAGTGAGCAGACAACAGTTTAAATAACTCGACATATCGTTCTGTACGGAAGTCTGACCTAGTTGTCATGTTTACACAGCTGTCAGTGCAGCTGCAAACCACGACAAAACAGACATGCGAAATGGGAAATGTAAAAACTATTCTAGACTTCCTACCTAGTCGTGGTTTATGTACATGGTCTGGCAGTCAATAAATGTCATTTTAAAAGTGAACCCAGACCTTTCTCTGTCCAGTTTCAACTGCAATTGTCCAACATGACTGCACTAGCTAGCTAGCTAACGTTCGCTAGCTTAGCTCGTCGCTAGCTTGGTAAAACATGGTTGGCAAATATGTAATATTTTGTCTAGCTAGCTAATTTGTACAGCCAGCATTTAGTCTACATCGATGCTGTTACAATTACCAAACGTTTGGATAAACCAATAATTTATGAAACCGTGATGTATGACATGATTGAATGTTGCATGCAATTTCAATTGCGTTTTAATTGCTTCGTGTATCAGCAAAGTTGCTTGAGATGATGTCACTTGCAATTTGCAACAGAAATTGCGTCCAAATAGCTTTGTGTGACACAGGCTTTAACCGTAAGGGGGAAAACGGTTGCATACCAGCCACGTAGGGGTTCATGGATGGATGCCATCATTGTGAGGAAAATATCATTTTTATTTTACATTTTAGTCATTTAGCAGACGCTCTTATCCAGAGCGACTTACAGTTAGTGAGTGCATACATTTTTCATACTGAGCATGGATGCTTTGCTGTGGCTGTTCTTCTTCATCGGTGGCACTATCGTAGCTATCCAGTATGCAACTCTGCATGCCCAGCTAGTGTTAGCATGGTGGCTAAGTGTGACATGTTTTCTTTTGAGAAATGCTAACTGTCCACTGGCTTAGTAATGACAGTCGTTCACTATTGTGTTCCAGGTGGGTATAGCAGGTTGTACAGGAGCAGGGTAGTGACTGTGTTGATGATGTTGTTGTTCCTGGTGGGTATAGTAGGTCGTACAGGAGCATGGTAGTGACTGTTGTTGTTGATGTTGTTGTTGTTGTTGTTCCTGGTGGGTATATAGGTCGTACAGGGCAGGGTCGTGCCTGTGTTGTTGATGTGTTGTTCTGGTGGGTATGTAGGTCGTACAGGAGCAGGGTAGTGCCTGTTGTTGTTGATGGTGTTGTTCCTGGTGGTTTATTAGTAGGTCCGTACAGGCAGCAGGGTAGTGACTGTTGTTGTGTGGTTGTTGTCCTGGTGGGTATAGTAGGTTACAGGAGCAGGTAGTGACTGTGTGTGTTGTTGTGTGTTGTTCCGGTGGGTATAGTAGGTCGTACAGGAGCAGGTAGTGCTGTTGTTGTTGATGTTGTTGTTGTTGTGTTCCTGGTGGGTATAGTAGGTCGTACAGGAGCAGGGTAGTGACTGTTGTGATTGTTGATGATGTTTTGTTGTTGTTGTTGTTCCTGGTGGGTATAGTAGGTCGTACAGGAGCAGGGTAGTGCCTGTTGTTGAGATGTTGTTGTTGTTGTTCCTGGTGGGTATAGTAGGTCGTACAGGAGCAGGGTAGTGCCTGTTGTTGTTGATGTTGTTGTTGTTCCTGGTGGGTATAGTAGGTGGTACAGGAGCAGGGTAGTGACTGTTGTTGTTGGTGTTGTTGTTCCTGGTGGTTATAGTAGGTCGTACAGGAGCAGGGTAGTGCCTGTTGTTGAAGTGTTGAAGAGTTGGTATGTTTTGTTGTTCCTGTTGGGGTATAGTAGGTTGTACAGGAGAGCAGGGTAGTGCCTGTTGGTTGTTGATGTTTGTTGTTGTTCCTGGTGGGTATAGTTAGGTGGTACAGGAAGCCAGGGGTATAGTGACCTGTTGTTTGTTTGTGTGTTGTTCCAATGGTGGGGATATAGTAGGTCGTACAGGAGAGCGTAGTGACTGTTGTTGGTTTGATTGTTGTTTGTTGTTTGTTCCTGGTGGGTATAGATAGGGTCATACAGGAGCAGGGTAGAGTGACTGTTTGTTGGTTGATGTTGTTGTTGTTGTTGTTGTTCCAGGTGGGTATAGTAGGTCGTACAGGAGCAGGGAAGTCGTCTCTGACTCTAGGATTGTTCCGCATCATCGAGGCGTGTGAGGGAGAGATTCATATAGACGGAGTTAACATCGCTACGCTGGGCCTACATGAGCTACGCTCCAGGATCACCATCATACCTCAGGTACACACCCACCTGCCCATGCATACACACAGACTCAAACTAACCCACACTCTTTTGCACAAATGCCATATTTAAAACATCTTTATTTTCCCCCTCTTTCCATCTCTCCCCCTCTTCCCCACCCCCACTCTTCCACTCGCCCCCACATCCTCTCTGTCCCTCACCCATCTCCCTCCCCCTTTCTCTCTCTCTCCTCTCTCCCCCCTCCTCTCTCCCCCCTCCTCTCTCCCTCTCTCCCCCCTCCTCTCTCCCTCTCTCCCCCCTCCTCTCTCCCTCCTCTCTCCCCCCTCCTCTCTCTCTCTCTCTCGCTCCTCTCTCTCCCTCTCCCTCTCTCCCCCCTCCTCTCTCTCTCTCTCCCCCCTCCCCCCTCCAGGACCCAGTGTTGTTCTCCGGCTCTCTGAGGATGAATCTGGACCCCTTCGATGGCTACTCTGATGAGGAGGTGTGGAGAGCCCTGGAGCTCTCCCATCTCAAGAGCTTTGTGTCGGGCCTGCCGGACAAACTCAACCACGAGTGTTCAGAGGGAGGAGAGAACCTCAGGTACACAAGGCTACATAGTACTACACACACCATGCATAGTACTACATACACCATCCATAGTACTACATGCACCATCCATAGTACTACATACACCATCCATAGTACTACATACACCATACATAGTACTACATACACCATACATAGTACTACATACACCATCCATAGTACTGCATACACCATCCATAGTACTACATACACCATCCATAGTACTACATACACCATCCATAGTACTACATACACCATCCATAGTACTACATACACCATCCATAGTACTACATACACCATCCATAGTACTGCATACACCATCCATAGTACTGCATACACCATCCATAGTACTACATACACCATCCATAGTACTACATACACCATCCATAGGCCTACATACACCATCCATCACCATCCTGGTACATACACCATTCATAGTCCTACATCACTTACCTACACAGTCTTTCTTACTCGTCCTTCTCACTCCTTCTCTCTCTCTTCCTCTCTCTCTCTCACGTCTCTGTCTCTCTTTCTCTTCTCTCTGCTCTTCTTCTTCCTTTCTCTTTCTCGTCTCTCTCATCTCTCTCTCTTCTCCTTTCTTCTACTTCCTCTCTCATCCCTCTCTCTCTCCTTCTCATCTCTCTCTCTCCTTCCATCTCTCTCTCTCTCCTCTTATTAACATCTCTCTCTCCCTCTCTCCTCTCTCATCCTTCTCTTCTCTCTCTCTCTCTCCTGTCTTATTAACATCTTCTCTCTCTCCCTCTCTCCAGTCTGGGTCAGCGCCAGCTGGTGTGTCTGGCCCGAGCCCTCCTGAGGAAGACTAAGATCCTGGTTCTGGATGAGGCCACAGCTGCTGTGGACCTGGAGACAGACAACCTGATCCAGTCCACCATCAGAACTCAGTTTGATGACTGCACTGTCCTGACCATCGCACACAGACTCAATACTATCATGGACTTACACCAGGTAATATACAGTTCTATATGAAAACACACACACATTCTCTCCATCTCTCTCTCTCTCTCATCTCTCTCTCTCTCTCTCGCATCCTCTCTCTCTCATCCCTCTCTCTCATCCCTCTCTCTCTCATATCTCTCTCTCTCGCTCTCTTATCTCTCTCATCTCTCTCTCTCTCATCTCATCTCTCTCTCATCTCATCTCATCTCTCTCATCTCATCTCTCTCGCTCTCATCTCTCTCGCTCTCTCTCGCTCTCTCTCGCTCTCTCATCTCTCTCATCTCTCTCTCATCTCATCTCTCTCGCTCTAATCTCTCTCGCTCTCTATCGCTCTCTATCCTCTCTCATATCGCTCTCTCTTCTCAGATCTCTCTCCTCTCTCTCTCTATCTCCTCAATAGATCTCCTCTCCTCTTACCTCCTCAGAGTGCGAGTCTGGATAAAGGGGAGATGGCTGAGTTTGACTCTCCCTCCACTCTCATCACCAAGAGAGGATTTCTACAAGATGGCTAAAGACTCTGGACTGGTCTGAGGGGCGGACGGGAGAGGACAGGAGCTTAAAGACTACATCCCTTCTTACAGAGCACTCCTCCTCCGATCCCCTGACCGGGAGGCTGTGCAGGGAAGAGGTAGCAGCGAGAGAGTTTCTAAGGATTTCAATGTTTCTGACTGTTAAGTGTGTGCAAATTATGGGAGCACTCTACCTCCACTTCTTCCCCCATCCTTCCACCCCTCCCTCTCCCTACTACAGAATGTGTAAAGGATTCACTCCACTGAACCTGATGCTGCTGCTTCTCCAGGACAAATCCCTTCCAACAACTGTTACTGTTTCTCCAACACTCTGTTTCTTCAACTCTCCTTAAACGGGCGTCTGGATGTTTTCAAGATTCCCTTCATCTTGCAGAATTTATCCGCTCCGGTTTGCCGTTGTGGGAAGTCGGATGTTCGGTCAGAAGGCCATCTGATCTGCTCTGTCAAACAGACTCAGAATACCACCTACATTAAAAAATCGTCTAAATGGGCGTTTTCTGCTTTTGAAGATGTACTCTGTTAAGGGACTATAAAAGCGTCCATCTTGTTTCGTGTCTCTGCCCCAGTTTGCCTTTATTGCCATCAGAGGTTTGGAAAGACGTTCTCTCCGAAGGAACCAGAATATTCTGATTTGTTCAATCCAATGGAACTGGAATGCTCGGATCTGTTCTCTTCAACAGAACCGGGTGGACTAGGTTAAATATTTATTTGACAGACAATGTTATCCCCACAGGAAGTGAGTGAATGGATATCTGTCCAATCACAGGGTCAATCACCGGCTGGAGAAACCTGTCCAATCAGAGTCAGATCCCGCCCCCCTTTACGTTGAGTAGTGGTAAAAGAGAGCGAGGTCACGCCCCCTTGACCTCTGCCTGGGTGGCCTTTGACCCTTGATCTCTCAGACGCTGCTTTCCATAGTGCCACACCTCAAACGGCATCCTACACCCCATGTAGTGAACTTTTCTTGACCCCCCCAGCCCTGTGTGGCAGCCTGCTCAAAAGTAGTGCACTAGATAGGGAATAGGGTGTTGACATTTGAGAGGCGGCCATCGATAAAGACTTGTCCTTAGTGCTGGGTTTGTTACTAGGCCACCTGAGAGCCTTGGAGCCAAATGCACGGTCCCAAACCAAGCCCTAGCCCTTACACATAGACACTAGCCTGTTTAGATCGATGGAAGCAACATCATGGAAACTCCTCTTAGTGCATTTCTACTGAGGATTTACCCCGGTGCTTGACCTAAAAGCCTCCGACTTTTGTTTCCTCCTCCACAGGGAATAGGGTGCCATTTGAGACTAAACTTATATTGCTTACACCGATCCAAAACTTGTAAGGACTAGGGGAGAAGTGTCTAGGGGTAGGGGCTAGGGGCTGGTTTGGGACTGAGCCAAAGTATATTTATTTTAGTGTACTTATGACTTCCTCTCAGGTGTGTGGTGCTCTTAGAGATGACTAGGTAAGGCAAGGGCCCCGTTCCATTATCTACTGAACACACCCTTTTCTCCTTTATAACCAACCTTCCTTTCCTCCACATACAAATCAGTTGGGGCAAAACTCTACTGACATCTTATTCCCTATATAGTGTGCTCTGGTTAATAGTAGTAGACTATATATATAAGGGGAATGAATAGGGTGTCATTTGAGATGCTGTATAGTGAGTGATAACGTCAGGGTAGGAATCAATGAGGGAAGGAAAGGAGACGTATTTAAAGTGTTGGAACTGGGCCCAAGCCTTCTAGCCCTCTGCAGAGCCACAGTCATGTTGTCTGTAACCTAGAACTAGCCTGACTAGTCTAGGGAGAGACGTGTTGTCTGTGACCTAGAACTAGCCTGACTAGTCTAGGGAGAGACGTGTTGTCTGTAACCTAGAACTAGCCTGACTAGTCTAGGGAGAGACGTGTTGTCTGTGACCTAGAACTAGCCTGACTAGTCTAGGGAGAGACGTGTTGTCTGTGACCTAGAACTAGCCTGACTAACCTAGGGAGAGACGTGTTGTCTGTGACCTAGAACTAGCCTGACTAGTCTAGGGAGAGACGTGTTGTCTGTGACCTAGAACTAGCCTGACTAGTCTAGGGAGAGACGTGTTGTCTGTAACCTAGAACTAGCCTGACTAGTCTAGGGAGAGACGTGTTGTCTGTGAACCTAGAACTAGCCTGACTAGTCTAGGGAGAGACGTGTTGTCTGTGACCTAGAACTAGCCTGACTAGTCTAGGGAGAGACGTGTTGTCTGTGACCTAGAACTAGCCTGACTAACCTAGGGAGAGACGTGTTGTCTGTGACCTAGAACTAGCCTGACTAGTCTAGGGAGAGACGTGTTGTCTGTAACCTATAACTAGCCTGACTAGCCTAGGGAGAGACGTGTTGTCTGTAACCTATAACTAGCCTGACTAGCCTAGGGAGAGACGTGTTGTCTGTAACCTATAACTAGCCTGACTAGCCTAGGGAGAGACGTGTTGTCTGTGACCTATAACTAGCCTGACTAGTCCTAGGTAGAGACGTGTTGTCTGGTAACCTAGAACTAGCCTGACTAGTCTAGGGAGAGACGTGTTGTCGGTGACCTAGAACTAGCCTGACTAGTCTAGGGAGAGACGTGTTGTCTGTGACCTAGAACTAGCCTGACTAGTCTAGGGAGAGACGTGTTGTCTGTGACCTAGAACTAGCCTGACTAGTCTAGGGAGAGACGTGTTGTCTGTGACCTAGAACTAGCCTGACTAGTCTAGGAGAGACGTTGTTGTCTGTGACCTAGAACTAGCCTGACTAGTCTAGGGAGAGACGTGTTGTCTGTGACCTAGAACTAGCCTGACTAGTCTAGGGAGAGACGTGTTGTCTGTGACCTAGAACTAGCCTGACTAGTCTAGGGAGAGACGTGGCTGGCTTTAAACCTGCTTTATTTAAATGAATGTAATACATTACTTCATAGTTGCCACATTATTATATCATTCTGCTTGCATCCCACATGGCACCCTATTCCCTACATAGTGCACTACTTTTGGCCAGTGCCCATAGGACTCTGGTCAAAAGTAGTGCACTTTATAGGGAATAGGGTGCCATTTGGGCCAAACATAGGATCATTTGACTGTAGCCTGCTGCGTTTAGCAGAGACCACTTTCTCCTTATTGGCATTTTATCTGTTGGTTAGTAGGTGTTATTATATGATTTAACCTCTGGAGCCCAAAAGGTGTTAGTCAGACTGATCAGCAAGTCTCAATACGGTGTTGGGTTAGTCAGACTGATCAGCAAGTCTCAATAAGGGGTTGGGTTAGTCAGACTGATCAGCAAGTCTCAATAAGGGGTTGGGTTAGTCAGACTGATCAGCAAGTCTCAATAAGGGGTTGGGTTAGTCAGACTGATCAGCAAGTCTCAATAAGGGGTTAGTCAGACTGATCAGCAAGTCTCAATAAGGGGTTGGGTTAGTCAGACTGATCAGCAAGTCTCAATAAGGGGTTGGGTTAGTCAGACTGATCAGCAAGTCTCAATAAGGGGTTGGGTTAGTCAGACTGATCAGCAAGTCTCAATAAGGTGTTGGGTTAGTCAGACTGATCAGCAAGTCTCAATAAGGGGTTAGTCAGACTGATCAGCAAGTCTCAATAAGTGGTTGGGTTAGTCAGACTGATCAGCAAGTCTCAATAAAGGGGTTGGGTTAGTCAGACTGATCAGCAAGTCTCAATAAGTGGTTGGGTTAGTCAGACTGATCAGCAAGTCTCAATAAGGGGTTGGGTAGTCAGACTGATCAGCAAGTCTCAATAGGGGTTGGGTTAGTCAGGACTGATCAGCAAGTCTCAATAAGGGGGTTAGTCAGACTGATCAGCAAGTCTCAATAAGGGGTTGGGTTAGTCAGACTGATCAGCAAGTCTCAATAAGGGGTTGGGTTAGTCAGACTGATCAGCAAGTCTCAATAAGGGGTTAGTCAGACTGATCAGCAAGTCTCAATAAGGGGTTGGGTTAGTCAGACTGATCAGCAAGTCTCAATAAGGGGTTGGGGTTAGTCAGACTGATCAGCAAAGTCTCAATAAGGGGTTGGGTTAGTCAAGACTGATCAGCAAGTCTCAATACAGGGTTGGGTTAGTCAGACTGATCAGCAAGTCTCATAGGGGTTGGGTTAGTCAGACTGATCAGCAAGTCTCAATAAGGGGTTGGGTTAGTCAGACTGATCAGCAAGTCTCAATAAGTGGGTTGGGTTAGTCAGACTGATCAGCAAGTCTCAATAAGGGGTTGGGTTAGTCAGACTGATCAGCAAGTCCTCAATAAGGGGTTGGGTTAGTCAGAACTGATCAGCAAAGTCTCAATAAGGGTGGTTAGTCAGACTGATCAGCAAGTCTCAATAAGGGGTTGGGTTAGTCAGACTGATCAGCAAAGTCTCAATAAGGGGTTGGGTTAGTCAGACTGATCAGCAAGTCTCAATAAGGGGTTGGGTTAGTCAGACTGATCAGCAAGGTCTCAATAAGGGTGTTGGGGTTAGTCAGACTGATCAGCCAAGTCTCAATAAGGGTTGGGTTAGTCCAGACTGATCAGCAAGTCTCAATAAGGGGTTGGGTTAGTCAGACTGATCAGCAAGTCTCAATAAGGTTGGGGTTAGTCAGACTGTTAACAACTCAATAAGGGGTGTTAGACAATCAGCAAGTCTCAAGCCTCAAACACCTTGAGTAATATATTCTGCTATGGACTCATGTAGACAGATTCCAGTCTCCACTTAGGGAGTTAGTGTGCCAGCGACAGTCTCTATACAGGGTGGGCCAAATAGTGCCCCCTGTTCAGTCCAAGTATATAGACCAAAACTTATTACATATTGCATCTACTTTTGGACAATGTGACGTGTCCAATGGAGGGCACAATAGGCACCCTATTCCCTATATAGTGCACTACTTTTGACCAGGGTCCATATGGAGGGAATAGGGTACCATTTGGGATGCAGCTCATCACTTGGATATCCAGTGACTACAGCAGGTGTGTGTGTTCTCTGAAAACCAAGCCAGTAGCAGCCTACTAGGCCTAGGCTTTGATGTCGCTTACCAAGCCAGTAGCAAGCCTACTAGGCCTAGGCTTTGACTGTCGCTTACCCTAAGCCAGTAGGCAGCCTACTAGGCCTAGGCTTGGATGTCTCTTACCAAGCCAGTAGCAGCCTACTAGGCCTAGGCTTGGATGTCGCTTACCAAGCCAGTAGCAGCCTACTAGGCCTAGGCTTGGATGTCGCTTACCAAGCCAGTAGCAGCCTACTAGGCCTAGGCTTGGATGTCGCTTACCAAGCCAGTAGCAGCCTACTAGGCCTAGGCTTTGATGTCGCTTACCTTGTGGCGTTACTTTTTATTGTATTTTAGCCTTGGTGGGGCTTATTTTATGTAAATCAAAGAGACGTGCTTTTGATTGGTCTGTTGAGTATAAGGTGGTGTCCCAAATAGCATCCTGTACCCTAGCTAGTGCACTACTATGTGCCCT